CCCCCCCCGCCTTTTTTTTTTTTTTTTCCGAGATAGGGTCTCGCTGTATAGCTCAGCTTGGCCTGGAACTCTGTATCTAGAGAAAATGGCTTTGAACTTCCTGCCTCTGCTTCCCAGGTCCTGGGGCTACAGGTATGTGCCCCACATTCAGCTTATCTATTTGCTTCTGTATTTATTTATTTGAAACAGCATCTTCCTATGTTGCTCAGGCTGGCCTTGAACTTGGGGACTTAGGTGCTGTATTAGTCAGGATTCTCTAGAGGAAAGGACTTATAGAGTGAATATCTATCTATCTATCTATCTATCTATCTATCTATCTATCTATCTATATTAAAGGCGTTTATTAGAATGCCTTACACGCTGCGGGCCAGCTAGTCCAACAACTACTGTCTACCAAAGGAAGGTTTGAGAATCTAGCAGTTGCTCAATCCACGAGGCTGGATGTCTCAGCTGGTCTTCAGTATTGTGGGGCGTTTACCCACCACCCCCACAGCTTCCCAGAGTTTTCTTGAGTGCGATCAGCAGGAAATATTAGATAGAAGGATTTATAGCAGAGAATCTTGTGGAGATAAACAGATAGAAAATAAAAGATAGCCTCGAGAGGGCCTGGAACCTATTCCAACGGGCCCCGACTGTCTCTGCCCCAGGGTTTTTATAGAGACGCCAAGGGGTGTAGCAAAAGACTCCTCCCCCAGCACAGCCAAGTGCAGACCATCTCAGACACCTGCACTCAGGCCTGTGGTCCTGATCATCCTCTATTCGGACCTGCTGGGTAAAGCCACGAGGAACCCCAGAACAGGCTCCCACACAGTATACACTGGAATCCTGAAGAAGTAGGCTCTTGATGTTTTTGTTTTGTGACAGGGTTTCTCTGTGTACCCCTGGCTGTCCAGGAACTCACTCTGTAGACCAGGTTGGCCTTGAATTTACAAAGGTCCGCCTGCCTCTGTCTCCTGAGTGCTGGGATTAAAGGCGTGCGCCACCATCGCCGGGCTGCATGTGATTCTTAAGTGCACAGCGTTTCCTGGTGTGATAGTGTCAGCCACACACTTCCTCCTTCCTCTTTCCTCCCCCAACCAAACAGCCACAGTTTCCACTTCTCCCACCACAGATTGGTTTCGCCTGGAAGGTCTCTTTCTTTCTCTCCCTTTCTTTCTTTTTTTTCCCTTTTCTTTCTTTCTTTCTTTCTTTCTTTCTTTTCTTTCTTTCTTTCTTTCTTTCTTTCTTTCTTTCTTTCTTTCTTTCTTTCTTTCTTTCTTTCTTTCTTTCCTTCCTTCCTTCCTTCCTTCCTTCCTTCTTTCTTTCTTTCTTTCTTTCTTTCTTTCTTTCTTTCTTTGACAGTGTCTTGCTGTATAGATCCAGTTGGCCTTAATATCACAGAGATCTGCCTGTCTCTGCCTCCGAAGTATTGGGATTAATCTTTTCTTTTTTGAGGGGCTAGGAGGGAGGGGTGAGACAAGGTTTCCTGTGTAGCTCAGGATGGCTTTGAACTCGTAATCCTATTGCCTCAGCCTCCCAAGCTGGAAAGGTCTCTAATAATTGTGTCCATCTTGGGAACTGCCAGCCTTCCGACGCCTCTCAGCAGGCGTCACTCAGAGGGTGGTGAGAAAAGCGTGGGTTCCTGGGTGCCGGTAAGCCGACCTCACAACCTCACAGCAGGCTCCAAAGACCAAAGTGCTTCCAAACTCCGGTGAAGTGGATGGGACAGTTCTCAGGAACCAAAGGTCAGGGGTTCAGCCTTTGCTTCTAACGTTTACTGGATAGTAAACAAACCACACAGCTGCCAACCTTGGCCACCAGACCTGTAAGCTGAGAACAGTCGTATCCACACAAGTGGGCATAGTCACACACACACACACACAACCCCTTGCACTCCAGCGGCATCAGGAGGCCCAGGAGTTCAGTGCCAGCCTTGGCTACATAGTGAGTTTGAGGCCAGGCTGGTCTACACAGCAAGTTCCAGGACAGCCAGAATGGCACAGGGAAACCCTGTCTCAAACCGATAAGTAAATCACAAACAGAGAAAGGAAGAGAGGAGGGAAGAAGGATCCACAAAGTTTAAGAGGGAGAAGCAGGGAGGTCAGTAAGAACAAAGCAACCACCAGCCAAGGCGGGTGGAACTGTCCTGTTTCGCTGTTTATCCAAACTACAGGCAGGTATCATGTGTCATCCTGGGGTAGCAAAAGCCAAGCTTGGCTATCAGCATGGTTACCTGCTTCCCAGGCTCCCACCCATCAGACTTGGGGCATGAGGGAAGGAGTCTTCAAGAATAAGGGGAGAAAGGAATCAGGTCTACCTGGAGGGTTAGGAGGGCTTCCTGGATAATTGGAAGTCAGCCAGAGCAGGGTTCAGGAAAGGGAAAAGGGGGCTCTGGGCTGGGGGGCAACAGAAGCCCCACGGAAGAGGCGAGGGGCATCAGGAAAGGCTGCAGAGGACTCTGACCCTGCCACAGACTTTAGGACCCAGAGCCTGCTGCAGATCCTAGGTTCACGATCTGCTATAAACTCTAGGACCTGCTGCAGACTCCGTATGTTTAGATGTTGGTCTTCCTATAGATGGGCTAGCAGAGATCTGGGATGCCATAATCAAGAAGATAACATGTTCAGATGTTAGCTAAATCACCCTGTCTGCAGTGTGGCCAGTGCGGGGATCTCTGAATTGTGCTGAATGTCCCACACAGTGAATGTGAATGGGTAAGATAGCCTCTGGAGAATGTCCTAGCCTGAGTTTACCGAATCTGCCGCAGGCCGGGCGTCACTTTACGTGGGCTGCTCTGTCCTGCCCGTCCTTCCTTTTTCTGCCCTTCTTCTCTGACCTCACTTTATTTCTCCAGGGTCTCATGAATCCCTGGCTGGGCTTGAACTCATTGTATAGGTTGAGGATGACTGTGAACTCCTGATCTCCCTGCCTCCACCTTTCATGTGGAGAGATGGGCATCACCATATCAGACAATGTTTGTGGGTTTTTTAGTTTGTTTTGAGACAGGATCTCACTATTTAGCTCAGGCTGGTCTGGAAGCAGCAATTCTTCAGCCCCACCTGGTACTGGGATTATAGGTGTGTGCCATCATGCTTGGATAACTGCTTGAATTATCCTTCATACTGTTCCCCACATAACTGTATTAGTCAGACATGATGACATTCACCTTCCCTTCTGCCTGGAAGTCTGAGGAGGGATGGAGACCAGTGTGTGTGTGTGTGTGTGTGTGTGTGTGTGTGTGTGTGTGAGAGAGAGAGAGAGAGAGAGAGAGAGAGAGAGAGAGAGAGAGAGAGCGCAGAGACCAGAGG